TACAGCATTAATTCAGCATTTACTACTGCGTTATTAAAATCCACATTCATGCTTGATAACATTAGTTAATGCACTGTAAGTTAACATGAATGACAATGAAACACTTGTATTTTACTAACTAACGTGATAAATATACTGTTGATGTTAGTATCACATTAAACCATTCACTCATTTTCCTTCGGCTTAGTCCCTTTATTAATCAGGGGTCACCACAGCAGAATGAACCACTAACTTATCCTGCATATATTTTACGCAGTGTATGTCCTTTCAGCTGCAACCCATCACTGGGAAACACCCATACACACTCGTTCACACACATACACTACTGACAAATTTGCCTTCCCAATTGCCCTGTAAAGCATGTGTTTAGACTGTGGGGGAAACTGTGGAGAACATGCAAACTCCACACAGATACGCCAACTAACCCAGCCGGGACTCGAACCAGGTACCTTCTTGCTTTGAGGCCACAGTGCTACCCACTGCGCCGCCGTGCAGCCATATTACATTAACTCACATTAACTAATTCAACCCTATTGTAAAGTGTTACCAAAAAATAATCGACAATTTGTTTAAAACTGCTCTCATCCCTGTCAAACTAAAAGAAGTAAGACTGTTATCCTGAAGTGTTACCATTGAATTTAGTTCTTGTTTAAAATATTCCTTTAAGAGACGTTAGCCGACACTGTAACAGAGCTGTGATTATTCTTCTCATGCTCATCCTCAATCTTCTGTCCTGACATCCTCATATATATTTTCCTCAAGGATCTGCTGACGGCAGGGCTGGAGAAGTAGTAGACCACAGGATTGAGCACGCTGTTGAAGTACGTAAAGCAGACGGTGATATAAAACGCCACATTTGCATCCTGAAAATATTGACATTCATTATGCCAGCTTTTCAGAACCCAAACAGCAATACGGGAGACATTACTGGGGAAGAAGCATATGATGAAAACCAAAGCCACTGCTAACACAAACCGCACAGCTCTTCTTATTTTACCGTGCTTGTCAATTGTTTTACCCTTCAGCTGCCAGGTTATACATGTGGAGCAGTAGATGACGATGAACGTCGGCACGAAGAATTGAATAACGTAAAACGAATTGTGCCAATCAGACAGAGCGTTGTGTCCTAAACAGATATTGAAGCTTTCGCACTGCGTTCGGTTATTTCGATAGTAGAAGTGTTTATCGGCGAGCAGATATACGGTCATGGCTATGATGAGCGCCCACAGGCCCACAGACACCCACAGGGCGTAGCGCAGACCCATTTGGTTGATGGGGTTCAGCGGGTGCACGATCTTCAGGTATCGGTCCACAGCCACCGCCGTCAGGAAGAAGATACCGGCGGCTCGATTTGCAGCCAGCAGAAACAGCAGCACACGGCAGAAAGCGTCCCCGTAGACCCAGTGCTTGCCCCGCCGGTAGTAGTCAGCCCGGAACGGAAGGCAGAACAGCACCAGCGAGTCGGCCAGAGCCAGATGAGCCAGATAGATGGAGTTGGGCTTCCAGGAGTCCCTGTGGAAGAAGAACATGCAGAGGGCCAGACCGTTCCCCATCAGGCCCAGGACGAACTCGCTGAACAGAACAGGGGGTAACACCTCATCCAGAATGGGAGCGTCGAAAGCGCAGCACACCGAGGAGGAGTTGTTCATGATTCTGCTGCTCTTTTTGGGGCTCAGTGGAATAAATGAACACCGTTGCTTTAAGACTCGCACTTTTATAGTGTGTGCTCTGAAGAGGCGTGGCTTGTCGGTTAGAGTGGGCGGTGACCGCCTATCAAAAACAGAGTTTGGGTTTTGGGATTATTTCATTGGCTGTTTAATGTCATTTCTAAAGCGCTCTTTATGATGTGGATTGTGAAATGCATTTATGCACGGCAGGTTATATGGCCGGTGTAACAGTCCTCGTTGAATACAGAGCTGTTACATCTTTTAATACTAACTGCCTTGATTAGCTGTTGTGTTTTATGTGTTGTTTTTTATTAAGAGGAGCTATTATTAGCTGAGTCGTGCATCTCTATGCTTTTCCATCTTTCAACACTATATCTAACTTTTTTATTGTTGTTTTTCTGATTTAGTTGTGTTCATTTTTTTTAGTACACTGAAAAAAATTATTCAAAGATGATTCCTTGGATTTACTCAATTTCTTTACGTTAAGAGGTTGTAAACAATTTATTTGGGCTGAATTTAAACAAACAAATTAAGTTGAACATTACTAAACTTAATTAGTTTGTTTAAATTCAACACAAATTGTTTGCAACAGTTCTGCATGCAACACTTTTTTCAGTGAGAGATTTCGTTTAGCTCATGTGTGTTATTACACTTTATTTTCTATTGTTGAACTGACAGGATCTTTGTGTTGATTGTGGTTTATTGTGAGGTTATGTTGTAATGAGTGGCCATGTCATGTTCGTGTTTTGCTTGAGGGTGAGTTACTCTATAACAAATACATAATTGTTTTACTGTATATATATATATATATATATATATATATATATATATATATATTATAATGTATATAGATAAATAAGCAATAATAAAAATAACAAACACATAAAAATATAAGTTATTTGGAATAAAATGAATGTGTTTCATTACATGCAATGAAAATAATGCAGCATATAATGTTCTATTTAATTCATGCAGAATAGATGTATTGTTTATCTCAGTTGTGCTTTATTATACTTTATATGTTCTGTTGTGGAAATTACAGGATTTTTTAGCTGATTGTGTTTTATTTTCTCAGGTTCTGATGTAATGAGTGTGGATGTTGTGTTTGAGGGTAAGTTACTCTCTGAGAAATACATTATGTTTTTTAATTGTGCATGTTATAATGTTTAATTATACATGTTCTATTTTAATTGTCCAGAAAGGAGTGTTTTATAACTGTGTGGCAGTGTAAAGTGACAGAAATAAAGACCATGCAACACAAATAATGTAGATAAACACACAATTATTAGTCTTTATTTTATTGTATTTTGTTAATTTGAGAAATGCATTTAACATAATAGTTTTAATAACAAATTTCTGATAGTTCATTTTTTTTGTTGCAGTGATGACTGTCACGGTCACACAATGAGGACAAGGACGGTTATCGCTTTCCTTCAATTTATTCAAACAAGCAGTGGATTAATAAACAGGAGAAGCAGGTAAGTGATAGTCTTTGTAGGAGCAGGTGGAATGTTGTTTACGATGGAAACAAGGAGCTTCAGTCAAACATAGAGCATAAGGCTTTTCCCTTTATGATAGCTTGTTCATCCACAGGTTTGGGAGAAATGTCCACAGAAAAAAACATTCAGATTGAATTGAGAGTCAGAACGTCCCATGGGTGTGACAGTGACAGTACATAATATTTCACGCTCTTGCAGGATACTAGTATTCAGCTTAAAGTGACATTTAAAGACTTAACTAGGTCATTATTGGACAAAAGTGGTTTGTCTTGTAGAAAATCTACAAATCTATTTTTTTAGAAGAGCTATTATTAATATTATTAGAACTTTTTAAGCTAATACTGACCTTGAAAGTTATTTACAGGTAAAAGAAATGCTTTTATTCCAGCCAAGCTAAACTAACTTTTTAAAAAAAAAAGAAATACAAAGAATACGAATTTCACAGGAGAGCAAATCATTCTGTAGATGTTTCCAGTAAAACTTAATGCTATAAAAAATAATCACAATACAAATGCATAAGCAAAAATGCAATGAGTTTCAGAGAAATATGAGCAATTAACTGCAGATTTAATGACATTGTTTTATTACTTTGTTAATCATTTATGAAAATAAGAACTTAAATGAGACCAGCAGTATATACAGTTGAAGTGGGAACTTTTAGCCCCCCTATATTTTTTCCCAAATTTCTCTTTAACGGAGAGAAGACTTTTTCAGCACATTTCTAACCATAATAGTGTTAATAACTCATCTCTAATAACTGATTTATTTTCTCTTTGCCATGATGACAGTAAATAATATTCTACTAGATGTTTTTCAAGACACTTCTTTACAGCTTAAAGTGACATGTAAAGGCTTCACTAGGGTAATTAGGGTAACTAGGTATTTTAGGGTAATTAGGTTAATTGATTAAGTCATTGTATAACGATGGTTTGTTCTGTAGACTATTGAAAAAGAATATAGCTTAAAGAGGCAAATAATTTATTCCTTAAATGGTGTGTAAAAAAATGAAAAACTGCTTTCATTCTAGCCAAAATAAAACAAATCAGACTTTCTCTAGAAGAAAAAATATTATCAGACATACTGTGAACATCTCCTTGCTCTGTTAAACACAATTTGGGAAATATTTAAAAAAGGAAAAAAATCAAAGAATAATTTTGACTTGAACTGTATATTCTATGAGAAGTCCGAGTTAATAAATATGCACATCTAAATTTGTGTGTTTGTTTCTAGTCTCAGGCGTTGTTTGCTGAGCTGTTCATCAGTAAAAGAAGAGCTGGGTGAGTTCAAAAATACAACAGATTACTGATAACTTCTCAATCAAATCATAGGAAAATGTTTTATTTAGTGAAAAGCGCTAAACTCCTGGCTAATGCTTCAGTATAAAAGTGTTACCTTTAAGTCTTTTGTATTGATGATACATCAGTGCAGATGATACAGATGAATCTGCACAGCTCTAAATCTGCATCTGCCTGCTGAAACCACAAATGCCAATTTGACTTTTCCCAAAATGAACAAATGGGCGTGAGAGTGACTGTGTCGTGGGCTATAAGAGCGTCAGATACACAAGCACAAATACATAGTGAATATGCACAGGGGGCAGTTTCAGATGTTTGTTGTTAAAGTATTTCCGTTTCCTTGTTTTAGCTTGAAATGATGAAACTAAGATCAGATGAGAGACGCAGCACTGTAGCCTGTGTATTGCTGTGAAAAGAGGAATAATAATAATAGTATGCTGTGTTGCTGTGATGATATTATTATTATATATTAGGATTATACACTTATGAATATAAACACTTTACAGTTTTGAAAGATGTCTTGCACGTGTCTTTAATTCAGCCTATAGTGGCAGAAATCACAGCCCTCTATGTCTGCTTGTAATGATGATTTACAGCCTGCTTATAAATTAATTCAAATGCCAAATTACATATAAAGCTTACGGTTCTGTAAATAATAATATGAATTAAACAAAATGCAGTATATCTGATGCTTTATTGAATGTAACCTAGTTAAACTTGCATATAGTGAAGGATTTGAAGATCGGAAATATATTCATTTAGCCAAGACGACTTTATGTGGTCAAATTGTTTTGACAAAACAAACACACATCAAATGACCAGCTCACTCAGCCGGGTCATAACAGCCCAGCGTTTTTACAGTGCACACTTCACAAACACAACTGTGCTTCATGAAGCTCCACAGGGGCAGGTTTGTCCTCTTACGGGTGTAATGATCATATGTATCATTAAAACACTGCTGGTGTTTTCGTCTGCTTGTTTTTATCGCTCAGCTCAATGTTAGTAAGACTAAAGAAATGTATTGTGGTGATAAAAATGTACAAACACTCTGCAAACCTTTTCAGGTACAGATATTAGCTGTGTTTCTGTCCACCTATTTTAATGAGCATTTTGGATGTGCGCATGGAAAAATGGTGGATGAAAAACTCTAAGATGCACAAAAAATTTTGATTATCTGCATAAAAAGCGTATGTGTATAACTGAGTAGGATAAACTTCTTATTCAATAAGAATAATTTAATGTGCATACACCCCGATGGAAACACTGACTGAACAAGATCCAGTATGTGCATTAGTAAAGTCATGTGATTGTGTTATAAGAGATCATGTGATGATGAAAATGTGTGTGATTGGACAAACCAGCAGGCTGAAGTCACTGTAAAACATCTCAAATGTGGTTTTGGTCGTTCTAAAACGCTTGAACTATTTCAGTATTAGTGTTATTATATTATTAATGAGCTCCAGAATTGTCTGTGCTCTGCATCTTCAAATGCCACCACGCTTTTATTGTGTGTGAGCATACTGTCTTCTGAGACGCAAGTCTTTATTAAATAAAGTAAAGCTTAACGCAGCTTCTCATACCGCAGCAAATTCCACTTTTACTGTTGATATTTGGCACCAGTTCATTAGGAAGTGTCGATTTTGTTGGCTTTGATTGATTGTAAAAAGCGCTGCTTCATTTGCACGTGCTTTATGCGATATTCCAGTTTTACACATAAAGTTAATTCACATCTTTGGATAAACTTAGAAGTTTTAATGTTGAGAAGGACATTTTGATTTGCCGTATATAAATTACTCATTGAATCTGTCCTTACCTTTTAATAGAAAAGTCTGTTTTCACTCCTGCTGTGCTAAAATACTTTCAAGGTTATTAAATATAGCAAGTTAAAGTGAGAGGCAAACACCTCTTACTGGTGTATTTATTGCAGTGTCAAATAGACCTGTCACAACATCAATTTTTGTTGTAGGATATAATGCACCAAAATATATTACAATAAACAATATTATTGTTATTTTATGCCACACATTATATAATGCCAGAATGACACTATATTATCACAATGCAAATACACTCCTTTCAAAGAACACATCATATTTCATTCTTGAGAATATTTGAACTATAGTCGTTTTAATCAATTTTATAATCAGGCATTGAAATCAGAATGTGAAAACTCATATCCTAAATAAATAATAATAAATATTAACAAAAAGTGCAAGGTGAAGAGTAACAGAGGCTGCGATGTCTGCTGCCAGATCTATTTTCAGTTGTCTGACATTCATTCATTCATTTTCTTTTAAGCTTAGTCCCTTTATCAGAGATCGCCACAGCGGAATGAACCGCCAATTTATCCAGCATATGTTTTACACAGGGAATGCCCTTCCAGCTGCAACCCATCACTGGGAAACCGCCATACACACTCATTCACACACACACTCATACGGCCAGTTTAGTTGATCAGTTCCCCTATAGCGCATGTGTTTGGACTGTGGGGGAAACCGGAGCACCCGGAGGAAACCCACGCCAACACGGGGAGAACATGCAAACTCCACACAGACACATTAACTGACCCAGTTGAGGCTTGAACCAGCGACCTTCTTGCTGTGAGGTGATCATGCTAACCACTGAGCCACCGTGACGCCCAGTCGACAGACTCCCACATAAAAATATACTATAGTAATTTACAGTAAATACTACAGTGTTTACTGACAGGGTCAGTTGGTGTTTCTGTGTGGAGTTTGCATGTTCTCCCCGTGTTGGCGTGGGTTTCCTCCAGGTGCTTCGGTTTCCCCCACAGTCCAAACACATGCGCTATAGGGGAACTGATCAACTGACTGTAGTGCATGAGTGTGTGTGAATGACTGTGTTTGAGTGTTTCCCAGTACTGGGTTGCATCTGGAAGGGCATCAGCTATGTTAAACATATGTGTGTGAAAACATATCTGACGTGTTAACTGTATTTAAGGATTGACCAAAATACTCATTTATTGTCATCTGAAATCTTTGTTAGATTTTATTAAACCATTTATTAGTTTCTTAATAATTTCA